TGATGAGCAGCCTCTCTACCGCGACTCACGGAGGTCACCAAAGAGAAGATTGCTTCCTGCAACACCTCAAGGTATATTATGACCATCATTTATATATAAAAGATAGACGTGGCTTTCTTCTCTGAAAGTGGCTGATATTTGAATGCATTCTTTCTAATGGCCAGTAGGGGGCAAAAACGAGTCGATTAGAAAAATAAGCATTATGCTCAAAAAAATCTTTCTCAATCAGTCTACACTCTCAGTAATGACTTTATTTAACACGGCCTGATGTTCATTTAGTCAGTTATGGTTTGATATAGAGTAAGCAGACAGGAAAGAAGGGTATGCTTTAGGGTATTCTTATTGTGTGATTGTTGCTACAGTAATAGTGTCCTTGGTTTTTGGTCAGATCCTTCCCTTTCATGTGGGCTCTGGTTCCAAAAAAGTAAGGTGGCTAAAATATTAAAATTGTTCATCCTATAAAAACAGCCTGTGATTGTCGTCCTCCTTGACCTGGTGCCATGTGTCAATGTTAAATATTGTAGAAAGCTTTTACGTGAGGCACACCCCTCTTTGCTTTTCATTTCTTCATAGCTTGTTATTACATTGTACATTAGTACATTGATCAGAGCATAGATTTTCTGAATATCTGAAATTACTAAAATGGCAAATGTTAATCATCTATCCAGTTAAGGTGATTTTAATAGATGAGCAACATAAAATAGCTGTGTGGGGTTTTTTGTGTGCTTGTGGACAAACCTCACAAAGCTGTAGTTTTCTTTTAAAGGTTGTACATGTACACAAACTTTGCTTTTTGTTCGTTTTATTGTATTGTATTACTCGTAAGTTTGAATTTCTCTCATTGTTTCTAAGTTAATGCTCACTGCTCTACTCTGGATTAATTCAGGTAATAGAAGGCCATCCTTCAACTTTGAGTGTCTGCGCAGACAAAGTAGCCATGATGAGCTTCCACATCAGCGTACTGCTCTACCACTGCACCTTATGCAGCACCAGGTAACACAAACATTCTTTAAGTTACATTTTTGGCCTTGGGTGGAGTGACATTTGTTAGTAAGTTGCAGATTGCATCAGCTTTCTTAAATGAATTGCTAAATATCACAGAAAACTGTTGAATCGAGATACTACACAGCTATGAAATAGCAGCAAACAGAAGTGCTTCCCAAGTGGGTGGCACAGTTTAATTATACTTCAAGTCACTTTTGTGTTCCACCGTCAAAATCCTCCTTCTTCACCCATCAGGTTATGGCTGTAGCAGGGCTGGACTCTAGCAGAGCCCATCGCCTCTCCCCAACCCGCTCCACCCGTTCTTGGGCCACACCCCCTGCCACACCGGCCAGTAAAGACCAGTCACCATACTACACCCCTCTCATACGTGTGGAACACCCACACAGGGAGAGTGTTGTTGGTAGCCAAGTGTCTGTGCGCAAGAGCTCCTGGTACACAGACGATCCCGAGTTCTCCCAGAGAACGTACTCACCTGTGCACCTGCAGGTTCCTCCGGAGTACCATAACCAGTACCACCAGAAAAGAGGCAGTGCAACAAGCCTTGTGGAAGCGGTGAGTTTAAGGCTGTTTGGTGGAATAGTTACTGGAAATTTTGCATGACCTGGGCTTTGATCTCACAAGCACATTTTCAGATTTATTGTGTCATCTGAACAAAACACAAAACACAGTCCTAAAAAAAATCCACACTGAGATATTTTTCTTCAAATTCCTCCGAACAGGTTTTGATATCAGAAGGACTTGGGAGATATGCCAAGGATCCCAAGTTTGTCGCTGCCACAAAGCACGAGATAGCAGATGCATGTGAGATGACGATAGATGAGATGGAGAGTGCAGCCAGCCACCTGCTGAATGGAGGAATGTCCCCAGGTATCAATGGGGTAAATGTGTTTCCCCTTCTGACTCCAAGGGATTATGAACTGCCGGACACCGCAGCCAGCTACAGTGATGAAGAGCCAGAGACAGAACCCAGAGGTCCTTACGAGGAGGACCTGGCAGACGAGATGATCTGCATCACAACTTTATAGCAGAGGCTGGAGGATTCTGCACATTAGGACCCTTATAGATTTGCGAAAATTTAAAAGAAATGCATCTGTTGGCTCTGACCCAAAGAAGTGCCTTTAAAGTGAAGAGAAAAGGCATAGGGATGAGAGACACACAAGTCCTGTTCGTTTAATTGTTCTCCACCTGCCAGCCGTGGAGGTCACAGCACAGAGCCAGTTACCATTCCTGTTGAGCACAGAGGGACAGACTGGATCTTCCTTCCAAAGGCTTTGACCTGATGGTAATATACAGGTTCTGCCTGCAGCCAGTCAAAGACAATAACGCTGATGCCAGTGAAAGAGATGGACCAACTGGCAAAGGTGTGAGATGCTCTAGAGGGTGGGTCTCTAAGGGTGATGACAATCAGATGTTCGATGTCATTACCTCAGTCACTTTTTTAAGGTTTGGCATATCATGCAAGTTTTCAATGCAAGCATAGAAAGGCATATCTCCTCACATAGTTTTTAGAATAACTCGACCCCTTCGTCGTTAGCGCAGATCGTTTAAAGATCACTAGAGCTGAGTGAAATAGTGAGATAGAGAGCTGAGTTGCACCAGATTATGCAGGAACTAACAGTCCTACTTATAGCATCATTCAACTTGAGATATGTACTTTTCAAGCAACTAAAGCATTTGTGATAAATGCACTAGCAGGCAGGTTATTTTAACACTTTAGAATAGCCTGATTAATATTTCATAGTTGATATGCTGTAAATTGTATTATATAACAAAAGAAACTTTGTAAAGAGATATTCTATATTTTGTAATTATGTATCATTTAAAAGATCAGCAATATGGACCCTCGTGACTCATGTTATACTATAAAAGCAGACTTGCATTATTTTATTAGGTAAACTGTTCGGATATTTATTTGCTTTTTTTTTTTTTTTGCCAATATGCACCTTTTATTTTGCCTATGATGACAGCATTCTTTAGAGGTTCTGCTTATGTGGCGACACTACCGCACAAGATATGCTTTGTTTCCTTAGCATAGGAGTACACTTGTTACTTCATCAAACCGACAATGGAGCATTTTTAGAAGGCAAGCCTCAAGGATCCAGTGCTGAAATTTCTCACAGATGTGACGAACACATTTGTTTGCATATTTTGTGCACAGTATTTTAAAATGCGTAGTGCATTAACAATGCTGCTTTTTTCAGTTGGCTTCGGAGTCAAACCTAGGTTTTTGTCAGCCCCTACTGAAATGCCTTTTTGCTGCTGAAAGAACGAAAACTGATAGATGGTAATAACAGGGATAAATTAACACTTTCAAAGCTCATGCTGGGAATTTCACTCTTTGTTGGTCATGGCAGGGTTTCGTTAGACCTTTGTACCGAATCTTAGCTATTACATCTTAGCCTTCATGCTGTATGTGGAGAGGGCTTAGGTGGCAGAAGACACATGCACACATCCAAGAGCCGGGAACAGCCCCAACATGTGTTCTAGGTGAAAGTACTGAGGGTGTCCTGGTGTCAGGATGCTGCAGAGAGGCAAAGCAATACTAACCCCCACACCTCCAACCTTTCTTTCTCAGCCTCCCTGGTTCCTGCGTATAGTATACCTCGTTAGGCATTGGTGAAGACATATCATTGTCACAGCTTATCTGTTTGTCCCAGTATCCCACAGTGGATTCGTTGAGATTAACTAGGGCTGAACGTGGATTTTAGTGTGACTGTATGAAAATGAATGGCAAACCCCACACTGGGTACGTTTAAATAAAGGAGTAGCTGGAGCCCACAAGTTTAAAAACACAAGGCAACAAAATATCTTTTAACCATCCATCATCCGTTTTTCTCTTGCATAAAGATACTGGACTAAATAAATTGAGGTGGGCTATTTCAGGCGTTACCATAGAGCGTTTAAGGGTTAATGTGACCTGCTGTTGTAGGCGAGTGCATACTGTACTCTAATTCAACCGAATACTGTCATGAAAATGTAGGTTTTCCATTTTGTGTGCACATTGAAAGGGCTCTTTGAATTGTTTGTGAGTAAAAAAAAAAAGTGTTGTAGTCCTTTTGTTGATAACTGTCATAAAAAGGACCAATGCACACAAAAGGCACATTGTACTATTCGTAGCAATTACAGTACTGATGAACTGAAGATATGCATTATTTTGTAAACACTTTTAAAAGTTGTGTTAAACTAAAGATTAAAAGAACTTACTTTTACCTCATGTCAGGGATTCCTGAAAAAAGAAAAAAAGAATATAATGATTTGGTTCAGTCTACCAATGGTATTTAAATATTAGCACATAGCTGTTTGTCTTTGCACAAGTAACTGTATAGTGCTTTTTGTTTCTCCTTTTTCTAAACAGATTTGTGTATTAAGGTGAGACAATTTTGTACTTTTTGTGACTGTGTGTATGGTTTAGTGGAATCTATATTTGTCATTTACACCTCACCTCATAATGCTGGGAATGAAAGAGTATTAAAAACATTTTTCAAGGTGCACTGTTCCTCTGTTTTGCAGGTAGGAGAAAAAATAAAATAAAATGATCAAGTACCAGTTTACAGAGAAACACATGTTGATTTGAACGTTTCTATTAGTTTTCTTCATCTTGTTATGATTATAATTACTATTACTACTATTAATGTTCAGAAAGCTGTATTAAAATAGAAGATAATGTAATATATGTACAATATGGAAAGACCCATGGTAATGTTCTCTACTTGAAAGTCTTGATATCTGCTCCCTAATGTTTTTATTGAGTAAACATCTTTTCTCTTAGTAGCAAATGCTTTACTATAACCCTCTAGGTTTTGTATCAATACATTTTTTGTATTTTTATTTTATTTTATTTTGGCCTTGATTTTCTTTGAATCGATACTGATATTTTATTTTCTATTGATCATCATTGAATAAACTTATGCTGAAATGCTGTTCTAATCTCTTTGCATTCTACACTTTTTAGCAGACAGACAGTTGCTGTGAGTGTCGCCTCGCAAATAAAAACAAATAATTCAAACGCACAACTTCACTGACGTTTGTGTAATGTGACAGAAGACGTCTGCAAAATGAATTTTTACAAGCATGTTTCAGGGTAGCTGTTGCATTTGCACATTTCAGGAAGGAGACACTTTGTTTATCTCCACAGTTGTTGTCGCCTCCGATGCCTCATCGTCCTCCCATGGCTCTTTCCCGCACATCAGGAAGGGTACAGCGTATTTACGGAACTAAAGGAAACGTATATCACAGTCTATCATTGTAAGTCAATGAAACTATGTACATTAGATAGGCTTTTAGATTATAGGTTATATCATATACAACAAAACAAACACTCTAACAGTGATATTAAAGTGTGACAAAATAAAAATAACTTTTAAAATGTAACTCATTGCCAACCCTACACATATGCTTTAAAAAGAGAGTATAAACATATAATAAGGCTTTTGTAAGCAGAGAAATATGCATTTAAGAAAAACATACATCCTGTGTGTCTATTGTTTAACGAAAATATGTTTTACTGGCTTTATGAGAGAATTGATCATATGTGAAGGTAACTGTAAAATTAAAAACAGACAAAAATACACTCTAAACCCTTTGCTCGTTTTAAACTGAGGTGAAATGGTTTATTTACTGTAGACAAATTTAAAATTTTCTCATTAAAACTGGAAGATTCAACGTAAAATATATCAAATCTGTAAGTTATATAATACCAACAGAAACAGTGTTGTATTTATTCCTGTATTTCCTGAATAGCTGTGTAATACATTTTATCCCCACTGGGTGGTGCTCATGTGACGGAAAAAGAGTTGATTCACTAGTTCCCCTCAATGTGTTTACCATATCTGGCTGAATACAATTATTACCTGCTTATTGAGGTAGATATAGATGATGGGATTGTACACAGTGCTGCTCTTGGCCAGATAAACAGGCACTGTGCCCACCAGAGGATGAATCTTCACATCTGGGTTGTACACCACTAGCATGGCCAGGGTGGCATACGGCATCCAGCTGATCAGAAATGTCAGGACCATCAGGATCACCATGGACGCCACCTTCATCTCCCCTTTAGCCACTGCGCCACCTTCCACACAAGCCATCTTTGATACCTGTGAAATGGTGTGTTACTAATAGGGTCACTAAAGACATTTAGAGAGGAAACATCTCTGCAGTAAGATTCAAGACTGAACTGGAAAGTGACAAGAAGCCCCAGCTAGACTCTAAACACTTTACTGAACAGGATTAGAATTTTAAAAAAGCTGGTAAGAACTGATTTAACCTTTAAAAAACAGAAAAATAAAACACTGTATCATAAAGTTTACACACTTCTTATAGTATATTGTCTTTATTGTGAATAGTATGTGTAGCCTAAAGCTGTCAGTTAAATATGATAAATTTAAAAATAAGAGATTTTATAATGTAAATTCAGAGTTATAATGTAGATTCAAACACATACTTCCATTTCGCTACAAATCCCGCAGATGACTTTAACACCATAACTTAAAAGTATGCGTGTTATTTTTTCAACGCTGATCTATAATAGCTCACCCGGTGTAACGTCCACATTAGCTTGGTGTAGGATACCAGGATGATGGCAAAAGGAACAGCAAAGCACACCGCAAAGTAAACCATGATGTAGGAGACATTTTGAGGGTCTCTGTTGTGCCAGTCTGGCGCACAGGATGTCCCAACACCCTCCAACTCATACCTTCCCCATCCAAACAATGGAGGCAGGTTCCATGTCAGGGACCACAGCCAAGATAATATAACACCTCCAACTGCATGCTTCTTTTGGAAGGTAATTTGTCCCAGTGGCTTACACACCACAAACATCCTCTCCACTGCGATCAGAGCAACGGTGCACAGAGATGTGATACCTAAAATAAATAAATAAGTAAATAAAATAAAATTTGAATTTTCACAGACGCTAGTGGAGGTGAAAGTACTTTTAATGACACTGTACTCCATGTGGTATTCTTTGAACTTACCAAACAAGGACACAGCAAAACCTTCCATCACACAGCCTGTTCTGCCCAGGGAAAAGTACCCTTGGGCGTTGTTGACCACAGAAAGCACTCCTCCGGTCATGGCTGTGCCCAGATCAGCCACAGCCATGTTCATTAGAGCATAGTTGAGCGGCTGCCTCAGCTGCTTGTACATGAGGGACACAATAATCACTGTAGCGTTGAGGATGATGGCCGGACCAGTAAAAATGGCCATAATGATGGACAGAATGATGAAGCCAGCCCGTGGAAGAGAGGGTTCCCCCTGCGGACCCAGGTAAAAAGAAGCATTTTGCAAAGTTCCAGAGTGCTGCATGGATGCAAAACTATAGAAAAAAAGTGGTATGGTCGTCGTTTTTTCCCTGGAGGTGCTCAGAGTTCAATATCTCACTACTCGAGTGTGACAGTGGAGATTAGACGACTCGAGTCTAAGAATAAATCCTCCAGATCTGGACTTACCAAAGAGTAATTCCTCCAAAATGATGGTCCTTGATCCCCCACCCTTTTCTTAATTGTAAAAGGATTTAAACAGGCAGTGCTTGTTGCTGCGCTCAACCCACTGAGCAAGTACAGAAGAAAAACAAGACAATACAACAAAAATAAAAATACAATAATATAAGATTATTTGTGACTGCTCCCCCTCACAGAGGACAACTAAATCAGACTGCTGATTTAGTTGTGTGTGAAATGCTTAGAGAGAGGTGTTTCACAACATGTGCTAACTACTGTAATTAAGACTGTGTGCCCCAAAAAGTTGATTCTGTTCATAGACGTTGCGTTTTCTGTGGGAGAAACATTTTCTCACTCATCCCAGTGACTTCTTGAGATGAGGACATATATATATTTAAAAAAATCAAACTGTAACTTTTTCAAATATGCATCTTTTGCTCTGTATAGAAAAAGCATAGGCATAATTAAACTCTCTAAGTTGCTAATTTTGAATACAGCAGCGTAAGAAACATGATCATCTTTCTTGGAAATTATTTTTCAGATCAATAAAATGACAGTAATAGTGTAACAAATTAGTTCAAATGTGATTAAATTATCCTTTTTTCTTCAAGAGTAGTTTTACCTTTAGGATTTGAGTGAGTCGGGGAAGGAAGGGTTATACAAAATGGTCCGAGGATTTAAAATATTTTTCTCTTGAATGTTGGCATAAAAATGTCTTCAACAAACTTAATTTTGAAACTATATTACTAATAACAGATTTCTGTCAGAAAGCAAAACATATATATTGAGTATTTTTATAGTCTATATGAATAAAATATTTACTTCAGGGTGACAAAGCCATGAAGTGCTTGTTGTGTAGGATAATGACAATGGTAAATATATCATTGCATTAATTATATTATGTGGAATTAGTTTGATGTGAACAATTTTGTCTCTCTGTGTGCAACAAAGTTTATTCTGAAGGCTGGCTTAAGACTAGTTCTTAAAGAGAGATTCGATTAAACAAGCGATGAAGTAACCGGTTACGTTTTAGCTACAAACTCATGTAACGGGCTGTTTGGACTCAGGATTACGGTGATGTGCTATTAATAACGCTGTATTAAAGTTCCACCTAAACCCAGAACGCAGACAAACAACAACAAGATGCAAACACTTTAACAAGTGCAAAGGTTAGGATTGAACCTAATCATCAAGTAAAAATAAATATTTTTATTTGATCTATATTTATTTATAACAACACGTTACAAGTGTAATATTACTATTATATTACTATTTCACTGCTAGCTGGATTACTAATTAATGTGTTACACAAATTCACAGCAGTGATTAAAAAGTAAAGAAAAAAACACAACCAATTTTTGATGATGAAATGTGATCTGTATTTATATGTTAGACTTAATAACATATGGCACAGCAAGCCAGAACAGTTTACTCAGTCATGGCCTTTACTGAATACATAAGACCGAATGACCATTGGAAGTGGCCTGAATTAAGTTATCCGCAGCTGCTGGGGTTGCAAGGTGAGGTTAATCCTCAAGATTATCAAGAGAACATGCCAAGAGGTGTCCGATGTTTAACCCTTTAAGAGGCTTATTTTCAATCAAGTCAAGACACAGATTACAACTGTTTGGGTCGTGGGTTCCAGAGCACTGATGAAAAGATTTTTTTTTCTTTTTTTAATTCAGATGATAGCACTTCTCTTTCATTTTGAAACAAAATCTTACCTAAGTGGTAAAAAAAGAAGCCCATCCCACTATCAGAGGCCGTACTGTTGTCAGTTAACATTTACTTGAATTCTTGGAAATTGTCTCATCCAGGAAAACTTTACTTTTCATACCTTTATGAGAATGTTAAAACTGTTTTCAGATCACTGAAAGCACTTTGATATTGAAATGTTGTTGTTCCAAATTACTTCCCCAAAATATTTTTGACAGATTTGAACACATCCAGAACATCTCCTGGGTAAATCTGCTCATAAAGACCGTGTTGTTGTTGACAGCTCTTAGGAAAGCTATTGTACTAATCTTACTTGTGTAACTAGAGAGCACTTTGTGCAATTGTGTGTTACTGTGTCACTACTCCTCACTCCATGTTCCTTCAGTGCCCTTGTTTGACTTTTCTGACTTTTCTGTTTTTACCTTGATGCTATTGTTACCCTGTTAATAAAGTATGCACACAGTAAAATTAACAGCTGTTATTTAGCTTGCATGTAATATTGTATTTATGCATGGTATAACATGACTTTGATGGGTAGATCTGTGTTTAACAAAACAATGTACGATAAATAAATATATATATTATAAATTCTGCGAAATAAATTTGGAAATATTTACTTTTAGTTGAGGACTGTAAATACAGATACTCACACTGCTTTCAGTTAACCATTTACTGTATGTTCATTTTCAGAGACACAACGGTAATTTGATGATCTAACTTAATTTCAAAGATAATATTTGTAATATTTAATTTTAATACTTTGATGTCAGTTGCTGTGTTTCCTCTCTTGAGATGCTTTGCCAGATCTTTACTGCAGCCACGTTTAGTTGCTGCTTGTTATCTGAGATAATAAGCAGCTGAGATCAGGTGACTTACTTTGCTAATAAAGAACATCCCATTATTTTGTCTTAAGAAACTCACTATCCAAGTGCTGTCTGGTCTGTTTAACATTATTTGGCTGAATCTAAACAGAGTATAGGCCTGTACACTTCAGCCTCTGTACTTGTATCTCAAGTCACATCATCAACAAACACTAATAGCTTGGTTCCACTGGTAGCCGTACATGCCTGTGTGATAACATGGTCTCCATCATGTTCATCAGATATTTGGCATGCTTTAGATAGCTGATTCTCTCCTTCTCCTTAATTTTCTCTTCCTATCTTTCTGGTGCCAGTCAATCATGGTATCATATCTCCAAACAGAATTGTGGACTTGAGGATTATTTTAGATGTTTTTTTGTTTGTTTGTTTGTTTTTTACAGAGTCTAACCTGGCCTTTTTGTTCTTGAGTGTATTCAGTGTTTGCAGCCCTCTGTTTTTCCCATTCATGAAGGTGTCTCAACCATTACTTTCTTAATGGTTATCATTCAGCCCAGTTCAACATTTACACACCTACCTAAAGTAATGCATATAAACACCAACTGCCCTAACAAGCATGTAGTCTCAGGTATACCTTTAGCTCAAGGCTGGACAGTAAATGACCAGACTTCAGAAGAGCCCAGACAGTAATCCAAGAGGTCAACAAAGCACAAATACTCCAGGGTCTTTTCAACTACAGAAGAATCAAGTTCAAGCCACTCTAAACTAAACTAAACTAAACTAAACTAAACTAAACTAAACTAAACTAAACTAAGTCTGTTTAAAAAAAAAAAACAAGAACAAAAAAACAAGCCTGCATTTAGGCAACTTGTTCAGATATCAGGCAACATAGGTCCATATCATGACAATAGAGGTCAAAGGGCAGGGACCAAATCCATCCCCCTCACAATATTATTATGACTACACCTTGACTACGTTTTACTGCTTGGAAGTCTGTCTTTTGGGGAACGTTTTCTGGGGTGGGACCAGAGGGTCCATGAGGACCAATGGAGACTGGAAGTAAAAGCAATCAAGCTGGAGTTCAGGAGGAAAAGAGTCAGGGATCAGAGAATGATCAAGGAAATAGATTGCTTTCCCCTAGAATCACGTTTTTTTCTGATACACTATAAACCAGAGTTGCTTAGACAAACCTCAATTGATCATATTTTATCTCATGCTGCTGTAAATCAAACTCAGCACCTGATTAGCTGAATTATGACTTAAGCTAATCAGACTCTACTTTCAGCTGATAGGGGCAGTAAAATTTACAGATCAGTAAATAAATTTTTACCTGAAAACACAGATTTATGCTTAAAAAGAGACCCTGGAATAACTCAGGTTCTCTATAGGCTGCTTTACATAAAACACTGCAGCGACGAGAACAAGATATATTGAAATATACCCAAGCTGCATTCTGTGGGTGGAGATCATAAGAAATGTAGTCAATGAACTCTGTATCCTAATACATGAAAACCTCAAACCATGCCACTGCTTGCACAAGGACAGCACACCTTGAGCTACAGTAAGCGTCTTGAACTAGCTCGATAAAAGCAAAGGACCTTAAGGATAATAAGAGCGAGTTGCTTTTATTTACTTAATTAAAGCTTTCTGGGAGCCGCTGAACAGAGCGGGCGGTCAGAGAGAAGACATTGGATGATACTGTCCGTCATCCAACATGCGGGCGCCTTATCGACACGTCGCAGGCAGCAGAGGCTCCTCACAACTTTGATGTATGATGCAATTACTAAACTAATAAAAGCTTCAAGTCGAAACAGGATTCCCGGTGAGGTGATGGTGGCACGGAGGGGGGGATGGTGGAGGGGAGGCGTGCTGCATCAAGCCGCCTGCTGCCTTGACATCATTATCGCCTCCTAATCAGCCTTTAAGGTGCAGGACGATGGGGACATCTTTCGGCCTGACTGAATACCAGAGAGTGAAAACTGCGCACAATCCAACACTTTTATTGCAAGCCATTTAGTTGCACCTTCACTGTTTCCACAAGAGAGGAGCTTATTCACAACTCCCCCAAATAATTCGCGGGACTGACGTTTTTAAAATAAAGTTGCCACTGAGTGACCATGATTGATTCATTCGGCAGGATTTCATCCAATCATAGACGAGCTTCTTTTTCCCCCCTCCACGGTTACCCATTAGTGTTTCTTCTCTTTCATTCTGGTTGACTACCCGCATCTTCGCTAAACCAAATAACTGAATGTTTTCTTCTTCCTTTGTTGTGCAGCCAGTGCGGAAGCTTTCATCACATCTGCAGTCTCATTATTACCCGCAGAGCCACAATTTATGTGAACAATGCCCCCTTCAAACGCCAAGCAGAATTCATATTTAACCATTTATATGTGTTTAA